AGCTCACGGGGTTTTTACTTATTGTTATTTTGCTTTTTTTGTTAAATTTTTTTTTTTTAACAATTACTGTATATTATTAATAGAATTTGTTTTTTGTTTGGTATATAGCCTTGACGTTATTGTTCTACTAAACATTAATTATAAATTTTAATAAAAATAAAATAATTTTGACATTGAAAACGATTTTGAGTGTATTGATATACTTATTAAGTACTTAGTTTAAAGAGTCCAGCATCATTTTATAATCGAATATGTTAAAATAGTTTAAATAATTATACATTCATCGTAGGTTTTCTCCAATTTTAAGTTATAAACAAATTTTTAAAATTTGGTACTGTGGCACAGCGGCAAAGGGTAATGAGATTCCTATTACTAGACACTGTCCGGTAAAATATTACTCGTATTTACGAAAACTGGGAAAATCGGTCTCAGTTTTGTGCAGATACTGCCCATAAAATGAGGAAACGGCATACAAATTCTGTGTGACTGTCTTAATTTGGCCGCCAGGAGGTGCAGATGGTTTGGGTGGGGCTTTCTTGGTATTGGGGAGCTCACGTCGTACTACCCAAGGAATATCTCTTGGTATTTGCTTGGGACCGAGGTGATGCAAGTGGGATATGGAAGGACTACATTAAGCTATGGCTGGCTAACTGTGGTGGGCGGAATAGAGGAATTCCTTAGCCCATATCTCGCTTCAGTAATCTAATAATTTACAATCTAAGAGAAAACTTTAAATGGAAATTATTTAAACATATTTTGAAAATTTATTCAATTTAAGTTCAAATTATAAATCTTTTAAGGCAATAACCTATACAAAATACAATTTTCGAAGTCTTGTACTTCCCATTGTATGTTTATATTGCAATTTATGTTAATGAAGTATTAATTTCAAATGTATTCATATCATACTTTATCATATTTGCCGCCAAGTATGTAAGGTACATACATAGTTATTTATTTAAAAAAAAATTATTAAAATTACGGAATCATAGTGGAATATTTTACTAAGCACTGTAAGATTTGATAGTACAAAATTATTGCTGATTTTTTTTTATTATTTTTAATAATTATATTGTATATACATTTAAATTGTTTTTTTTTTTTACAAATGATAATGAATAATATTAATTACATAATTAATTGTTAAAAAATTTTATTAATTAATTAATTATTTTCGAATGAAACGAAAAAAAATACCCGAAGGTACTTATTTGCAAGTACGTAATGTCTAATTTTATTTGCTTAAATAATTATAAACTTTTTTAAGTAAATTTAATAAACAAAATTATTTACTAATGCAATTTTTATAAAATTTAACAATAATTAGCTAGACAGAAATTTAAAATGTTTCTGTGTGAGTAGAAAATTTCAAAATTCATAGTATCGTCGTGTCACTATGTCATTAACATTTTGAACTATAAACTCTAATAACTTTCATTTAAAAAAAATACAAGTATGAAACAACCGCAATCACAATAATATAAGTACTTATACTAAGAGGGCTTAATTAGTGCCGATAGTTAAACTTATTTCATTACAATGTAGGAATATATGTACATTCACGTAATTATATTAAATTCAATTATAAAATATTGTAATTAAATTGTTTTCACTAATTAAGTAACGTATGTGTAGTAATTTCATATTTGTGGCCAAAACAACTCATAGCTATAACTGTTTAACTTTAAACTATTGTAAATTCTTATGAAAAATTTGAAATGTTATTAAAATATGAACTGAAAAATGCATACACCTAGAAATATTATGAAATTTAAACTACTTATTTACTTAAAGTTCGCTTTAAATTTTTGAGGCGAAAGCATGGCATATTAAGTCGCCCAAACTTGAGATAATTGGCTGGTTTATTCACCAAATCATTGCCTTTTCATGAATGAAACTGCCGACTATGAAGCATATATTGTGAAAATGTGAAACTATGAGACAATTTAAGATAAGTGTTTTCTTCACAAGTAAAATTAGAAAATTTTTATCAACTTTTATTTTACAATATTAAAAGAATTTCTTCTAAAAATATTAATTACATAATATTTATGAAAATATTTTATGAAAATCAAATAATTTTAAGTAAATTTCTTAATAATTTCAGTTCTTTAGCAAAATTATTATGATTTTGTCATATTTTGAATAAATTTCTTAAATTATAATATTTTTCTATAAATAAATATTACACAAGAATTTTTTTATGAATCCTTTCTATTATTATAAAACGAGAAATTTAAAGATTCTCATTGATCTCCACCTTTTTCTCCCTCTCTCTCTCTCACTAAAATCTTATATTCTCAAATGCAAATCTTAAAATATCTCTTACTTCCATACTACTACTTAGATTTTTCTTTAAGTTATCTATGCATGTAAATATTTCCAAATTCCAAGATCATTAAATACAAAAATCTCATCACTTTCCATGTTTTCAAAAAAAAACAAAAAAGAAAACATAATTTTTTCTTTACCTTTTACCACTACTATCAAAATTATAAGTATGTAGGTACGTATTTTCTTGAGTTTAGATCTAAGCTATATACAGGTAGAATGTAAATAGGTAAATTAAGTCACCGGTGCAAAATAACAGGTATATAATATTTTATACATATAAATTTATGAATGTATTTGCAAGTTTTTTACTAATAATTGACATTTAACTAATACTATTAAATTTATTAATTTATTTTTATTTTTTAAGATATTCACCTTGTACTGTAGAACTTTAGAGTGTATGAATTCAATAATATTGAATGAAATCTATAATTTAAAATTCATAAATATGTATTTGATATTGTAGAGATAAATGTATAATGGGTATGTATGTAGTACTTAAGCAAGTGAGTATTTTATGGTGTTAATAGTAAAAGATAAGTTTTTTTTTATTATTGTATTGAATAGGAAAAAAATAATATAAAACATAAATTAAATAATGACATTTTAAAATGCCGCTATAATAATATTATTATAGCCGAAAGACATATTAGATGATAAACAATAATTTATGAATTGAAAATTGTATTGAACCTACTTACATACATTGTACATAATATTTTACATAGATTTTATTTTCACACAATGTGTGTATTGTAAATAAAAATTATAAGATATTTTGACTACAATAAAACAGTTAACACTTCTTCTTTTTTCTATTGTCGTTTTCTATAAAATTATGTATATAGGTGCCTATTACAGTGTCGCATTAAAATATGTTAAAAATTTTGCAAAATTTACGTGTAAAAGCAATGTCTTTAGGATCTATCTCCAATAAACGTTTTTGAAATACATTTTTATACGTTGAGGTCAGTTTTAGCAATATAAATTTGGATTTTCCCTAAAATTAATTTTTTTAAAATTATTTAGTGACTTATGTTTAGTCTTATCATTTGTACAGAAGTGTTAATTAATATCCAATTTGTATTCATTAAAATAAATGTAATAAAGTAGGTATGTAGGTACATGAAATTTGACTGTGATATATTTACAACATTTAAAATGTTTGTAGAACGTCTTAGAATTTTAAGTTTATTAGAAAATTCAGCACATATAAATTGATTACAGAGTTAATTAGGTACAGAATAATGCTTGTAAATTCAAATCATAAAATAAATTTTATAAAAATAACAAATATATATGTAGATATCTCATTTAATTAAATATAAATTCTGAGAACCCTTTATATGTAGGTAAATCAACCAACCAATAAGTCAAGTCTTTTATTAGGTTTAACACATTTTCACTTCGAATTTGTATTATCGATGAACACGTTGAAAAATCTTGTTCTTGAACGGCGAACATAAATAAAAAAATTTTGGTCGTTCTTGTGAGTCATCGGTGTCCTGATTCCCACGAGTACATCCCCGGCGACATGTTGAATACAACATAAATGTACATTAAGAAGATATCTAAACTCACAAATTGACAGTAAAAAATACGGCTTATTTACGGCGAATTATGTCATTGATATTCATGAAATTGCGATGGTATGGAACTTCCTTAATAATTTTAAAGTACAGACCAAAAAAAAAAGTCCCTCAAACAATTTAAAGATTAAGACTTCAAATAATATTGAAAATTGTAAAATAAAAATCATTTCGGTGTTTATTAAATAATAAGAAAACAAAATTCATTTGAATTAATTGAAAATATAATTGTAATCTTAAATTGTACTACTATTTCATAACATTCACAAACGATTATCTTTAATGAAAACTCATTAAAACCTTCAAATATCTATGAAACTATTATATTTACTTAAGTCATATTTCCATAAAATCTTATTCTTATACTGCTCAAAAACCTGTAACTAAAAACTTCTTTTCGAAAAATTAAATTAAAATAAGTTTAAAAAGAAATTAATCGTCTTACTTACATTTATATGTATGTAAATGTATATAAAATTAATAAACATAATTTCATATACTTATAGAATATAATATAAAATATCATTCTGTTATACAAAAATAAAAAATATTATAAGTAATAAGTGTCAAATTATTTTATTCTTTTTTATACATTTAAAATATACCATATCGTATGTACCTATATTTTTTCATTTAAAATTTTGAAAAGTAAAGTTTAATAACCATGAAAAATCAGTCAACCAAAATTCATTTATATACAAAAACAAAAATAAAAAAAAAAGATGGTTTAAAATGGTATGAATATAACCTGTAACTAACTACCTGTTCAAAAATCAAAAATTATACACCTATGCATCCATAGTATACAATAATCCACACATGAAAATTAATACGAGTAGATATAATATTTTCGGTATGCATGCGAGAATTGTTATACATATATACTTATATAGAGCAACATAGTGTTATATGTATGGGGGAAAAAATATTAAATAAGTATAAAGAATAATTTTCTATTATACTTAAATTTTTTAAATAGAAATTATTTTTTTTTTTACAAAAATAAAATTATTTTTAAAAAATAAATCACAAAATATTTTGTTTTAAATGCAAAATCAAAATCGTATAACAAATTACCTTTTATTTTATATACCACTATTCATATATACAACTTGTATTTAATTTGAAAATGGTATGGTAGGTATTTCCTCTTTTATAATTTATTTATTTATTTTTTTTTGTTATATAGGTAGTTGGTACTTATATGTAGTAGTGCTGTCAATAATATAATTTTGTATATATTAAATAAATTAAGAATATATGTACATATATCAACTGTTCTGGTTCTTGAATCTTCTTCTGGTTTTGTTTTTCTGCTTTATTTTAATTATAAATGTTAAATTTCACAAATTATGTTAAAAAACTATTATATTTGATTTTTCTATATTTTTTTTTATTAAATAAATTATTTCCTATTCTTAAATTTAAAATTTAAATATTTAAGGTATATAAAAAAACAAAAATGTGATGATGTTTCAACTGAACTTAAATTGTATAACACTTTCTTATCATTGGAATTTTTTTTTAATGTATTATATTAAATAATCTATTTTTTTGTTAAATTATTTTAAATATAAAATTTTTATAATTAATATTATAATTTATAAATTATTGTTTGGTGATGATATAAACTGCATTTAAATCTAAAATTATAACAAAAAAGATTAATTTCTGTTTATAATGTAAAATTTCATTAAATATTTTAATTAAATATGTATTTATAAAATTTATTAAATTTTAATTAAAAAAATAAAATATTTTTTTTTTCGCTAATTATATACAACACATTTATTATTACAATATATTAATAACAACCATGTTACATACTTATATTAAGTAAGTATATGGTGAAAAAAATTTAACACTCTTTTGATTCTCTCTTGTGCAACTGGTTAAACTTGATTACCGATATTAAGGTTAATGCACCCTTCTATTACAAATATATTTTTATTTTTTTTTATTTTATAATTTTTTTTCTGTAATTTTCACATTTTAGAATAAATTTTATGTTTAATAAGAGTATAAATTAATAAATTTTATAAATTTAAAATATTATTATTTGCTTTTTAATTTAAATTTGGTTTTTATTCCACTTTCAAACCGCAATTAATTTAAAAAAATTTTTAAATACCTATTTATTTTTTTATTTAATTTATAAATTATTTTTTATTTTATATACTTTTTCAGTCGTTTTTAAATTATATAAATTCTAATTCTTATAAAATAAACTGTTATATTATATTAAAATACAATTAAATATTAAAATTCTAAAAAAAAAAAGAACAAATCCGTAAACCGTATCCATCAGGCAGAAAAAAAAAAAATAAAAACAAAAAAAAAATTAAAATAAAAAAATGATGAAAAATCTTTATAACATAAATTCTACTTCCACGTATCCAAAATGGTCAACTCATACTGTAAGGTAAGTTAAGTAGCAACTGTGTCGTCGTCGTTCTGTTGAATCGACGAACCAATCAATTTCTCTATCTCATATTTGTATTAATATTCATATTATTCCTCTACTTTTACTACATACAACAATACACCACGGCGGCGGAAGCAGAAAACAAGAATTAAGTATTAACAAAAAAAAAAAAAACAACAATACGTATAAATTGAGAAGAGGGAAGAAGAAAATGGGAAAAAATTTATGTAGGTATAAAAAAAAAATAAAAAATTTCTAAATAGAAGTAAAAAATATCTGTCTGTGGTCAAGAGAAAAATTGATCGTTAATTTACCACTTGTATCGCATAATATATTGGCTAATGATTTCAGATCAAATTCTAGGTTAGCAAATTATTAAAAGCATTGAATCCCAAGAATTTTCTTAATAAATTTTACGTGGAAAAATACAACCTTATTACGAAAATCGTAGTTTATTAGATGTTAAATAAACAAGAAAATTAATTAATGGTAGACATTTTTGGCCGAGCACGAATATCAATGAGTGGACTAGAAATTGTTTAATCAAAAATCGAAAACTATTAAGCATAATAAAGCAGAATAGAAAAACTGGACACACAACTTCTCAATATCTACACCCCAATTCAATTTGAACACTTTTGTTCTCACTTACTTTTATGTTTTATACAGTATGAACCACAGAGGGAGAGGATAAGTGAATTATAATATGCCAAACGAATTGCAATTTTTAATTTACGTTATTATTTCATTACACTCTTTGACCACAGAAATTATTGTTATCGTATTAAAGAAAAAAGAAAAAAAAAAGAAACAATGGAGAGGAAGAAGAATAATTCTCTGTTAGTCTGTTATACCATTTAAAGAGTTCGTTACATACATATACATTTAAAACAAACACGTTAGCTTTTTATACATATGTATGTATATACATAATATGTTCAAATGGAGATGCATGTAAGACTTGATGATATTATACGTACATGGTGAAATTGATTATTATTTAAAAATTTTAGATCCCAGTAATTTAGGTTATTCCAAAAATAAAAACCAATACTAAATATATTAAAAAAATAATATCTGAGTACATTGGCTTGCAGCTATAAGTATAACACAAAACAAGTATTTTGCCTAACTCGGCTATGTTATTTGAATAAAGTAAAATTTTTTTTGTATTTTACCTTTCTTAGAAGTGTTTCAATTCAAGTCTAAATAAATTTATGAAATTCGAAAGTTCTATACTTATAAGGTTATACCAAAACTAACATTACTACCTAAATAATATTAAATTTGAATATTCAAAGAATTTTTTCAGAGCACATAATCATGTTAAATGAAATGAAATCGAAATTTCTTATTTATTTTTTATAAGGTACATGCTACTTATATAGAAAAATTTGAAAATGTAGCGGATATTTTTTCAATTGAAATTTAATTATTTTATATTTCTTTTATATGCCTCACGAATTAATAATATAAATTTCAATGGAATTGAAAGAAAATATACCTATTAACAGAAAAACCTAGTATGGCAAAATGAAAGCCGGAACATTATTATTTTCTACATGTAGGTACATAATATAAAAATTAAATGATTATTTCTTATCTTGCATAAATTGATTTTTTTTTCTAATAATATTGTGATAATTTTTTTTCCATATCGATATATAATACAAACTAATTAATAAAATTTATGTTATTTGACCTTTGATTTATTAGTATATTAAAAACAAAACTCATAAGCATGTTAATTTCAATTTCAAGTATTTATAAAGATAAAAGATTTTATTTTAGAAATAAAAATATAAAATAATATTAAATTGTATGCGTAGGGATACTGCATACTTTCAGGTGAACACCTTATCATATTTTATTTTTTATATTAACTATTCAACATTTAATTAATAATGATATTTCTACTGATGATGTATTGAAAAGTATTAATTTTATTGAAATCAAAATCAAATTCTAGATTAGTAAAATCAAAATCGGAAATAGCTAAGTTTGTATAGTTACTTAAAATAAGATATGAAATCTATACATCATTTGAATTATAATTTAAAATAAACTGAAATGAAAAGAAAATTCCCTTACTATATAAAATAATCTTGTTAGTCTTGAGAAAGAATATTGAAAAATTATTTTCAGAACTTTTCCGAAAAAATTGAGAAAAATTGCTTGTGTTTGTTAGTTTAACTCAGTCCGTCCGTCTGTGTGTCTGTTTACAAATCGTTGATTTAAACAAACTTTATTTAAATTCAGAATAACGTTTTTCAAAATATCTAAATTTAACTTTATGAGACTAAAAACCAAAATGGTTTGCTAAAAATTCACACCAATATAGTGATAAATAATGAAAAGTTTGATCATACAGAATGGGAATGGATAGTTGTCACCACATTTAATTGAATGTTAAATGTTTAAGATTTGTTTAAACCTTACCTTAAATATTAAGAAGTTGTATTCATAGCGTTACATTTAAGATTATATAACACCCTTAAAGTATAAAACTTTAGAGTATCTAACATTTCTAACTATACTAACAAAATAAGTAGTTAAACCCGTAAGATAGATGGTTTAACATATTATGTATATGTATATAGAAAGTAAAATGTTAAATCTTTATCCAATATTTAAATTTTTGGATTTCTGTAGATAACCTGTTATAAAGGATTACTTATTTTAATTCTTCTTTTTAAATTGCAAACTGTTATTAATAATTGCTGAAATAATAATATATTTATATTTAATTTTAATTCTAAATTCCTTTTTAATCAAAAATCCAAATCCATTTTTTGTTTAAGTAAAATATTTAAGTTTATCCTCATACAAACATACACATACATATTTTTCTCTCAATATATACAATTTTATTTAGTTTGTATAACACTCTTTTTTTTTTCTTTTGAATTTTTCAACTTTCTATAAATTCTACCACATTATTTACAATTATATTAAATATATATATATATATACTCACATACAAACAAATATATTATGTAAATATATATATATATATATATATATATATATATATATTTCAACTCTTTTTCATCATTATATTATCATCATCATCACACAAAATATAGGCATATATATATTTTTATTATTTATTATTTTTTTGTTTTACATATCTATATTTTAAAGAACGTAAACGCGATTGAATAAATAAAATATTTTTTAACTAACATTTTTTCTATACTGCATGTAGACAGGAAAGATAATAAGTGTATGACGCGATAAAAAAAAAACGCAAATTCTAAAATAAATAAAAAAAAAATTATGAAAAATCTTTGTAAATTTTTTTTATATCACCATTATAACTATCTATATACATATGTATATATGTATGTATATACACAAATTTTAATTTTTATTTTAACTCTTTTCCAGAAAACACACGAGATTATTTTGTAAATTTCTTTTCAACTCATAATAATTGCATACATTAATGCACAAACTAATATACATTATGTATAAACATCGCCATAAATAAATTTATATACATAAAATAAATATATGTACATACTTGCTTTCCAATTTAACAAAAATATTTTAATGAATATTATTATATTTTATGCTTGTATGTATGTGTGTGTGATACCATTGCGTTAATCCATCTGGCATATCATCTTATTTTTTAAAAAAAAAAAAAACCTCAACTTGAAAATAATTTATATTTTTTTTTCTTTTATACACATAGTTTACTGTTATATATACATATAAACATATTTATTTACTTACTTTTTTATACAATAAATTTTTTAATATAAAATATGAAAAATTATATAAAAAAATTAACTTGAATATTTTTAACGCTTATATGATTTTATGCCAGTTTAATTACACGCATCCAAAAAAAAAAAATTCATTTTTTTTACAAAGAAATAAATGAAAAAATTAAAAAAATTCTCTCTTCTTTGAATACATATTTTTTTTTTTCTTTAAAAAAAAAAAAATAAAAACTGTTATAAAATCGCGTTAAATATCCTTTAATACAATATAATTACAATAACTTTACTCTCCAAAAGTTAAACGAAAACTAAATTTTTTAAATAATCTTCTTATTCCAATAAAACAAAGGAAATTCATTTAATTTCACCTTTTACACGCACACCAATACAAAGCTTTAAAATTGAATATCGTTTCTCTTTTATGATTTTTCTCAATTTTATACAATTTTCAACAATACTATTAACTATTATACTATTTGGCACTCATATTGTTTTGATTTTGTTGTATTTTATTTTATTTTGAAATTTCTCACCTGATTCTTAAAATTTTTTGTATTGTAAAATAATTCACATATAAAAATAATAACCGGATTGCCGGAATAAAATAGAATAACAGAGAGAGAAAAAAAAACAACTACAACAGCAATAAAAAATTCATATTTTGTAATGATAAAAATATTAGTTAAAATATATGAAGGAAAAAAAAAGAGTTAAATAAACGGTAAATTACCACCATTTCTATACCGTTTTGTTATTAAAATAAAAAAAATATTCAATTTATAAATACATATATATTATTCAATGGAAATTCAACTGGATAACATTGGAATGAGAGTTTTCTTTTTGTTATTTTAGTACCTCACTTATACTATTTAAAAAAAAAAATCAAGGAGAAATTTAATCGAACCGCGAAAAGTATATTAGCAATGATCATAATTTTTATTATCAAAAAAATTAACATAGATATTGAATTTGTTATACACATTTTCTATCCTAAAATGCCGGTTGATTTTATATACTAGTGTTGGTAAATTACATTTACTACTCTTCAATAAATATTATTTTATTCCTTCGACACAATAGAAATGAAGAACAGGTAAAAACTAATAAATTTATGTATATATGTATGCATGTGCATTTAAATTTGAAATTGGTGAGAAATATTATTGTATTAAAAATAAAATTGACTGTATATGAATATGTATTAGAATAGCTGTGAAATATATTTGTTTACATTATTGCAATATTTATAAATTTCGACAGCCACCGCTATTTCAACTCAACTCAGCTCAAACTTACTCACACTTGTATAAAAATGTCATAAAATATTTTGCCTAATTTACTTAAAAAATATGTTTTCTATATTGTATACTTGTGCCTTTATTTGTATTATTAACACATATACAAACATATAAACATGCACCGTTTCTAAGTTACTTTATATCTAAAAAACACAAACAAAACAGATAACAAAAAGTGACATTTCTTTTCTTTTGTTTTCACCATTTTTGTGCACCTGTTTTAATACTATTATGAGAGTATATTGTGTTCATACATGAGCGAGTATATACAAAAATAAAGGAAAATAATTTTAAGTGTGGTGAAAATAAGAAATTAATAATATGAGAAATGAGAATAATATTAGAGATTAAAAATAATGTTGTTTTTGGTTTTCAATTGATTCTTGAAAATCTTTAATCTCAATTTTATAATAATAATTAGCTTAAACTTAAAAAATTTTTACCTGTTGTTTTGCCTTCATTCTGTATGGTACATTTTACTACTTATACTTATTTTTTTTTAATCTTATCTTGTTATTTTCACACAGTTAACAGTATATTTGAAATGAGAGACTGTGGAAAAGAGAAAAATCGAGACGGTAATAGAGAAATAAACTACTTTATCGATATTTACAGGTGTTTTTTTTAATAACATATGGTAGATATGTTAGAATAAATAGCGACATCTGTTAACGATTTTCGTAAAGTAACTTTTGTTTTAAAATTTCGATATAACGGTAAGACAATTTAAAATAATTTAAATTTGAAAAATAATATGATTTTAAAGTGGTAACTGGTGAGTTATAAAATTAAGGTAAAATTTGAACTATAAAATAAACATATTGCACATTGCGCATAACAATTGTGGTCTTGTTTTTCGTCGCTCACGGCATTCTTACTTCGCATTTATGATAGATCCGATGATGGTTGAAAAGCGTGTATTTAGTGGTCATAAGTGATTTGGATCGCCTTCAGGAATTAAGAAAATTTTAGTCTGATTTCAAGTTAAATTAACTGTTATACAAGCACTTAATAATTTTTGTATTGAAGCTTGTCTTAAAAAGTTTTTCTCTTCCATAATAAATTTGCTTACAGTTATATGAAAAAATTTTGTAAATGAAGCTTAATAGTGGTGACTCCTTTAAAAAAAAATTTAATTGAAACAATTAATGATCATACAATCTTATAATAATTTAGATTTTATTAATTTACATATAAAAAAAAACAAACATTTTTTATTGTTACATTTTTCATTACTCTACTTTCTTAAAAACATAATAGCAACACACATACTAAAATCTTTAATAACTTATTAAATAGCACACCTTAAAAAAATTTAAGGTATTTTAATATTAAAATTAAGGAACACATTCTCTTTTCTATTAAATCTAATTATAACTACAACATTTAAACAAATCTATACATAACTAAGTATATAATAAAGTATGTTTATTTTAAACTACTCTGAAAAAGGAATACAACTTTTACATTTTTTAATCCTTGGTGGTATTTTGTAAAAAAAATTTCTTACATTTTAACTTAAAATAAAAAATTTATACAGAAACGAATTAAAATTAAATTAAAATCCACTTAGTGGACAATTTTTAATATCATCCCCTTGTTGAGGATTATAATTACAATAAACAGGACATGTAAATTTATCTTCGGAAACACATAATTCACCATTGAATATTTGTCCAGCTGAACAGCTAAGAGATGATTTTTTCCCACCAATACAAAAATAATAATTTTTACAACCAGAATCAATATCAGGATAAAAACCATCACGTTGACAATTCATCTCAGTACATAATCTTGGTTTACAATTAATTTGTTGATGATTTTGAAGACTTGGACATGCAAATTCTTTGGAATCAACACATTTGGCTCCATTAAATATTTTATCGCCACGACATGTTAATTGTGTTACTTTTTCTTGATTTAAACAATAAACATAATTTCGGCAATTTGATTTTAAATCAGGATGATAACCATCAGATTTACTTTTACATGATAAATCTGATTTACATTTAGCAATATCAGTATTTTTCTTACACTGATTACCGTCAAAATAATGACCCTCTTCACATATATAAGATATTTTATGACCATTTGAACAATAAAAATATCCACGACATCCACCGTTTTTATCTTTGTAATAACCATCTGAACGATTTGCACATGTATCATCATCATCTAGTGGGCATGTATAACGTCCTTTATTAACACAATTTTCACCATTAAAAATTTTATTCGATGGACATTTATATTCAGTTTTCATACCATTTATACAATAATAATAATGAGCGCATTCATGATCTTGATAGAAACCTTGTGCTTTATTATTACAGTAATTTGATTTTTTTGGATTAACACATTTCTTTCTTTCTTCAAATTTCTCAAAAACACAATTCTTTTCATCTGGATCGAAATATTGACCAGTTGGACAATCAAATACTTCAACTGTACGACCACGCATACATCGTACATACGATGAACATCCTTGTTGTGGATTCATATAAAAACCGTTACCATGTGCCTTACATATATCATTTTCTGTATTCCATATTGCTCTCGGACATGTATATAATGGTGTTGGAACACATTCTTCACCATTAAATACTGCTTGATTACTACATTTTTCTCTTTTAATAAATTTCTCACTCTGGCAAACAATATATGTTGTACAATCAATTGATGTTGAATCAAAATTTAATCCATCTTTTTTATTTTTACACATTGAATTACTATTTTCGATTTCATTTGAACAAGATGGTACCTGATTTGCTAGAACACATTGACGTATATCATTTTTAAAACGATAACCTAATGAACAAGATTTTTCATCAGCAACTTCATGATTTGAGCATACAATATATGTTGAACAATCTTTAACACCATAACTACCATCTTGTTTATCAGAGCATCGTTGATCACCTTCAAATGGATAACCTATTGCTGTTGTATGCGGTAAGTCGCATGTTACTAATTCTTGACTAACACAATTAATACCGTTATGTAAATGATTTGGTGGGCAATTATCAATATTGATTACTCGACCTGAATGACATGTATATGATCGGCGGCATGCATGTGTTGTATCTTGATAAATGCCATTTGTTCTTCCGGTACATGTTGGTTCATAACAGATTCCTATAAAAAAATGAAAATTTTAAAATGAAAGGCTCTACATTTTATTTTAAATTTTAATTATAATATTAATTAGATTTATGTACATATAATATTACCTGCCGATCTTGTACATGATTGTTTATAAAAATCAAACATTGATCCGGGACCACATTCATCTGATTCAAATTTTTCACGACTTGTGCATCTATAAAATCCTGTACAATGTGAACCAGGACTAGCATAATAAAATTCATCAATATTCGTACATTTTAATTTGATGGCAATTGTTTGTTGGTTGCAAAATACTGAAAAAAAATATAATAAAATAAAATTGAGTGTAAATCTTCTGAGTAAAATTTAAATTAAACTCTATTTAAATAAACAGGGTTAGTGAGTAATTTTAAATGAGACTATAAAAAAAGCTCTCAGAATTATACAGTATAACAGTTAGCATAGTACTTGTATAACAGTTCGAAATAAGACTGAAATTTTGTTATCAAATTTATTCAAAAATTACTGTTCTCTAGTTAATATTGTGAAATTAAAAAACTCAAAGAAAAAAAAATAAACACTTAGTTATCTTATCTTAACTCTCATTTAATAAAATTGTAAAAAAAAAAACATAAAAATATAGAAAAAAAACCCGTTCGAATAACACTAAATTTTAATAAAAAAAAATCAGTCACTTTTTCAAGTTATCAAAATAAAAAAAAAGCGAAACAAAAATACCAAAATTCAAAATATATCGTACAATATAAAACAAGACTAGACCCTGAGCCGCCATGAATCTTCAATAATTAACGTCACACACAACTGATTTAATGACTATTAAAATTTTATAGCTCAATTCCTAAGCAAAAGAGAACGAACGGGCGGATTGTATGTCGTAAAAACCACCAACAATAAAAAAAAATTTTTTAATATCTAACAAGAAAAAAAGAAAAACAAACAAACAAACATCGATAACTACAAGTCATTTGCATGTTTAACTTATAAATTAGCAAACACAGTAAAAAAAAAAATTAAAATAAAATTTTTTTAAGTAAAAAAATGACAAGTCGAGTATAACAGAAACAAAAACTTCCACAGCAAGAATATTAATTATATGAGAAGCAAATAAAATTTTTTAAATGAAAAACAACAAAAATCTTGTTAATTTATTGATTTTAAAATTGATAGGTTTTGAGATAAGATAATCATTCTTTTCCCTAGCACAGTGTTTTATAATATTAGCAGCTTCTTTATATTATTATCTGATTTTGAATTATCGTAATTATTAATACAAGTTGATTTTAGAAGAATTTTTTAGTAGTATAAAATTCTACACCAAAGATAGAGCTAATGTGAAAGCTAAGTAGGCCGAATATTCTAGTCTCATGTTTCCCCACTAGGATACCAAGGTAACGCTCATTATATAATATAAATTATCAAATATTATATATCCAGGAGTGAAAATAAATAAATGTGTATGTATGTATATTCTACGTTTAAGTACTCATATGGTGTCGATATTTTGAGGCACTTGAACCGGATTGTGAATCATTGTGTACTTGAACAAGTTTGAGAAATATTGTACAAAATTTAATAATGACTTCTCAATATCCAGTGGAGTGGAAATTAAGTACTAACATCAAATTACACTTATAGTACTATGGATGTTTACTTTCCGAAGGACGTTGTCAAGGGTAAAACACACAAGATCGTAGATGAAGCATGTTCAAATTGTTACTTTTACAATTATAAAATGAATGCTTAAAATAAATAAATTCTAATAAATTTTCTATCAATTCTAAGTATTTTGCTATTTATATTTACTACCGTACCAGTATGCTTATTTTGACCACCGTAAAACATTGATGGAATTGATCAATGTTATTAAATTTTTATATTTTTGGTATATTTCTAAAAATTGCTTATTAAGGAAATGTGTTTATCAGTTGGCTTCTTCCTTTTTGCCTGTACGTCACTTTTAGAAATCTTCTATAAAACTCAAAATGGAGAAATTCACAAAATTAGAAAATCCGTTAATTTATCAAAAAGATATTCGTCAATTTTTAGGAAAAATTTTTCTCATGCATATTAAGTCGCTCATATGAGCGTCAAACTGAGCGTTTATTTCAAAAAGATTGCAAAATTTAAATTTTCGGTGTCGTATTTCCCCGAAATTTTTAATTTTAATACTTTTAAAAATTTTTTTCTAGAATTTATCGTAAAATTATACAATTTTTGTGGCTATATGAGAATTATTTCAATATAAGTGTAGATTTTATTATTTTATAAGCTGTTTTCACACGGCGCCTATTGCATTAATGGATAACATGCAAACATACGTTTAGTTTCACTTACCATCATACAAATTTTTTGTTTGTAGGTAAGGATAAATGAAACATTTTGCCAACCATAGGTGCTGTATTGCTTACACTGTACATCTTAAAGTGTATTATAGAAAACTAAGTTAAAATTATAGAATTAAAAGTATATATATAAATTTTGCACTATAGCTTTGGATTTATGTTTTAAAACAGAAATGTGCTATTTTACAAAACCATGAATTTTATTGACTACATTCTTTATTAATCAATTCATCCTAACTATATAAGCATATATATCAAATTGAATTGATCTTCATTCTTAGAATTATTTCCTATATATAAAAATTAACTGTGTTAGATGAATTTTAATATTATATACATATATATACGAATAAATTTTAATATATTATGTACAATGTATACAAATGAATGTTTTATTAAAAAAATTTAAAAAAAAAAAAGAGAATTGTTCTTAAGCGGATCTTTGACTTAGTTTTTTTTTTGTTTTCTATTTTATTTTTTATATTATTCTTAAATGCAATAAGGGGTAAAATTCCATCTATAATAAAAATAATAATAATAATAATAATAAAGAAGCAAATAAACAACATAAAATTAATCACAATATTTTTTTAATATGAAAACAAAAAGAAGAAAAAAAAAAACTACGTAAATATTTTTGATGGTTATTGGCTTTTATTCACTTTGAAAACAAATAACTAATAATTATATTAAATTGTATATATAATATATATTTAGTAAATAAGTTAGAGTTGTTAACCTAATTGAAATGTTATAATATTGAAGACACTATGCGGTAGATAAATTTTAGTCACACAATGAGATTTTGTTTTGCAAATATTAGAAAATTTTGGATATTAAAATTAAGTGTAAATATTTAAATTTTGATTCAGACGTAGTTAATGTGAGGGTAGTTAAGCCTGCTACATTATTTTGCTATTAATTACAGTATTAAATAGAATAAAGTATGTTACACATTATATTACAGTATGCTTATAATTTCTTTCTTAGATAATAATGAAATGAGAGAAAAGGAACGGCACTGTTACTTACTACAATTTGTTATTTATAAAATCATGAAATTCATAAAATTTTTAAGATAATTTCTATATATAAATTAATTCTTGTCGCCAATCAAATTGAATTAGGCGAAGAATTCAATTGTATTTTATTGTAATTTAATATAGTATAGGTATACGAGTAATGTCATATTCACTGTATAATTAGTGTAATGGAACATGGAATTTTAAAACAATTTGTTAAAATAATTTTAAATTGAAACAATTTCTTAAATAATGCTAGGGTTATTTAAGTAACATTAAATTATTATTGGAGAAGAATCCCATAGAGAATTTTAAAAATATATTTCAAAAATTTTTCACAAGAATAACAATTAAAACAAGTTAGATTATTTTTGATATTGTTATATATAGCTCAATTAATCTGTTATTTATTTTAAGAATCCAAGTGAAAAAATTCATAGTCTAAAATTTAAATTACTTAAATCTTAAATTGTTTTTAATTTGTTAATATCACAGTTTTTCTGTGAAAATTGCAAAGCAAATATTTTATCTATATTCAATAATTATACAACAATATTAAAATGCAATATTATCCTCTCTTAACAGGTGTTCGATGCACAATTATTCGATTAAATATTATAAAGATTAAAGATTAAAATCTTATATAATTTTGTTTTTATGCATCTGGTTTTGATTTTTTATGATATGCTTGTCAAATTTTTCACTAAAAAGAAAAATTTTGTTCCGTTTAAAAACCGGTTCAATCCGTTTAAAATTTTCTTGTTTTTACATACAATTTACATATATTTTTTGTGTATGAAATACGTTATGTGTAATTATTATGTTAGAATCTAGAATTAAACATAAAACTTTTCACATATACGTTATTATTATATAAAAATTATTGGTTGAATAATATTAACACTCTATATTTTTATTTAATTACCGTTATTATGGAATAATAATTATGTGGTTAATTGTTGTAACCAAATCACTTTTAATACAGAAAATGATTGATTGATAATAAAGAAACTAAATGCCTTTAGTGTTTTTTTAATATACAAGCTTTTCGTTTCGAATACACCAAGCTCGCTCATTATCGATTTTATTAACTATATAATTTGTAATTATCACTGTCACAATATCATTCTTATTAATTATTCAGGCTAAAAGATAAGATTTAAAAAAAAAATTAAAATAAGCCTAATTTAACTTACTTATGTAAGCATGCATGAAAACACGGATACGGCAGTATGTTTAGTAATTTAATTTAGTAATTAATCACGTTTCATTCGAAAGATGGTAATAAAGTTTGGTATCGTAATTTCGAACACATGTCAAGATAATAATGATAAGAAATATTTTCTTTGTAAAGGAACTAAAGGCTATAAAAGACTATTAAGAATTAAACTACTACTTAAGAATCACATTTAAGTTCAAATAACGCAAAAAAAAAAACTATGAAATAAATATGTGAAATTTGGGAACTGCTTTTCAATTCCTCGCTTATATCTCCAACTTATTATACTAGGTGGAGCGTGCGGAGGCTACAATAAATCACGAAAGACTGCGGCAATTCGAGGGATATATATGCTGTATTCGCTATTCAACAAATATTTTTGTTGAAGTGCCAGGAATTTTCCTCAACTTTATAAAACAAATATTTTTTATAATAAGGTTACCAACCTATTGAAATATCTATTTTTTGTAGATATTTCAATTGAAATATTCTAAAAATCAAGTAAGAATCATTTTTATTTGATTTTACTATACTTATATAGTAAAAAAATAGAAATCATTTGTGTACTATTATAAAAATTTTGTTATAAATATAATGAAATCAAAGTATTTATAAAATAAATAATAGAACAAAAAAGCAAAAAAAAAAAATTAAAAATAAAGACGAAAAAAATTTTCATTTGAACTCGATTGCGCAGCATTTTCATTCTT